TTACCACCTGTAAGTAATGCAGCATTACTCTTTTTTACATCCTTAATTCTCTATCAAAGTTATGATCTGATGATGTGTTGGCATGGCTCTGTCTCCACTGTGTGCATAATCTCATGGATCCAGTATTTAACTCTGGAGATAATCCCTTTGGCTTCCCTACAAATCAAGGGATGGAAAATGCTGTTGGTGTTGACAAGGGAGAAATATCTGCGCTGACTAAAGTACTAGGGAAAGGGAAACTGTTGAGGCAGACACAAAACACCAGTACAAATTCAGATTTTCTCTAAATCATCTCACTCCTAGAACGTCACCCTCCACGCACTTTCAGAGTTACATCTCCACTGGCAGTCAAGGTAGTAGGAATCTTTCTGATGTACTCAGTGGCATTTGGGTTGAACCTCAGTTCTCAACAATGGGATTTATCTTTCAGAAAATTTGAATCGCAAGTTCTGCTCAAGAATTGCAAATATTCTGCCCCAGGTGCTTAGATATCAGACTAAGGTTTTCCTGTTAAAGTCAGACCCTATCAGCTACGCATCAGTAAAGGGCAATTGGCTGCCTCAGTAAAACATATATGTGCTGTCAACATATAGGAAACTGCCCTTCAGCTGCCATGCATGCATTTGAGCATGGGAGTCTCTGCCTACACAAAGGAATAAACAGAATTAAACATTGTTCCCATTAAAGCCAGCAATGTGTCATCCTCAGTATTCAAGCTTCTACACTTATTACAGTGTATATTAATTGGTTACATAAAAGCACACATTTTCCTCATTCAGTCTTACTTATTTTCTTTTTTCTTTTTTTTTTTTTTATTTTTTATTAAAAGCCCACCGAAAAACAGACCCAGCACCTATAAACCCAGGTAAGGTATTATCATTTTTTCTTCTTTTTAACTTCTTAACTTCTCTTCCCAAGTGCAGTAAGAGACGTGAGTTGGGAAAGCCCAACAGTTTACTGGCAGAGGGGATTTTCCCACAGGAGAAAGGGAGAAGTAGGAGAGGCCAGGAGCAGAAAAAGAGCTCAGGGATGTTGTGGGTTGCCCAGGGACCACACAACACCAGTACCACTGGTACTATAATGGTATTATACCATTTCCTCTCCACTCAGCTGCTATTTTCCAGCAAGGCCCAAATTTGTATTTGCAAAGCATACTAGTATTTAATCCATGCTGCATTTCACTCCCTGCTTACATATGGTTTATTAACATTAACTTATTTTTCTCCAGTGGACCTTACGTACCTGCCTAAATACATGCGGGTGACGTTGCTAAGATTCTTAATTGGCCTTTGCGGACGGAGGAGGCCTGGGATGCAAAGCATTAAATTACAAGGGTAGGTATTTATTCATGCACATGAGGTGTTCCATCCAAAACGGGCCACCTCGAATGTGGTTTCACAGTGAGTTCTTACACCCTTCAAACATTCAAGTACAACACAATTTGACTAATGTCTCATAACCACATTACTGATTACCAATCATGGTAAAGCTTCACAAAACAACTGTTTTTGCAGCATTCTTGCTGCTTGCCTATGGATCCAGACATCCCTGGAGTCAGTTGTGTTGGAGCTACTGCTCTCTGACACCAGATGATACTGGGAGGGTTCAAAGATGTGACAGAGGGGATTTGGGATGCTGGCATTATCTTGGCTGTCCAGAGGAATCCTTCAGAGACAGCTCTAAGCTTCCACAAAGCAAAGCCCTTCTTTCCAGGGCTAGGCCAGCCTTTAGTTTGTTTTACTTAAGCATAAACAGTACCAGAGTCTCCAGTAAAATTCCAGTGCCTCATTACATGACAGTCTGTAGTGCGAACCGAAAGAAGTTCACACACTGTCATTCTCTTAAAGGCTGATTAAGAGTTAGGGAAGGGAATTGGAAGTGACCACCAGAAGACCCTACACCAATGCCAAAGGCCACCTTGCAGGGAACAGACACCCAAGCAGTCCGCAATGCAGGCCTGGGGTCGCCTCCCATGCCATGTTTCACATGTCATACAAAGGCTATGCCACGTGAAGGCTGGTGGGAACATTTGGGTTTGAAATTGTTGTGTGCCAAGATATTGCAAAAGTTATTCATGTAAATAAGACTCGAAAATATTTTTAAAAATTGATGCCACCCCATGGCTTTGTGAATGACAGGACTCGGCAAGTTGAGATGGACCATCCACAGCATAGCCAAGCATTATATTAATAACACAACAAAATTTATGATTCTAAAAGTTCGTTATTCTAAATTATAGGATATTATCAACCTTCCCTGTTTCACACACTTCCCCGCCGTGCTTCCCTTTCATAACCTCCCTCGTCCGGTCACTTTGTGCACAGCTAAATGCACCCAAAGCAAAGTGACTCTGCAAGTGGGTTATGTACAGCTTTGGCATATAAAGCGGTAGAGTATCCACTCCAACATACAACAGAGAGCAGGATTGAACGAGCTGGGCATTAATGTGCTCACCACACTGACAACACTCCCAACGAGTCAGGCGACAGTCAGGCATGGATGGATTGGTCTTCCTCCATGGCTCCTTCAAACAGATCTTCCACTGTGCTCAGCTGCCATTCTCCATAGGTTTTTTTTTTCCCCTTACTACCTGTCCATGGTGGTGTTTTCCCTCTGGAGGCCTTGAGCTAACTGAACCCAAATCAAGAGTAATTGATTCATCAGTAATTTCACCTCTTATCTCGCATGGCTCTGCAGACTTTCTCACAACTCTGCAATGTCCTCAGCAGGGACCTACAGTTGGGCCACCTCGGGTGTCCTGGGATCCTCTCACCATGTGTAGCTGAGCCCTGATACCCCTCAGCTTCCTTGACTTTCTAGAGACATTCAGGAAAAGGTTTTGGCCGTACTTTGCAGTGCTAAACTCAAAGCCCATCACACCATGACCTATTCCAACAGTGGAAGGATCTGTTTCTGGCAACTTCTACAGGAGGAATACAACTTCTCTTGCCAAACCTTGACTGCTAAACACACAGGAACGCTGGTGCCCAAAAGTTACCTAGTGTTACAGAGTTTCCACACCAGGAAACTCCATCTAGACGATTTATTGTCACATTTGCCTTTTATGATTCACCATCTTTTTCAAAGGCAGTGAGGGCTTTAGCATGTTCAGCCAAACCAAGACTTGTTAATTAATGCTACCCTCTACAGCACAGAGCCAAATCTCACCCTCTTTCCAAAGCTTCATGGCTTTGGACTGTGGCATCTGATTTAGTCAGAAGGGGGTAAGGAAAATCTCAACAGCCATTTCCAAATAATTCCTCATATGTGATTGACTTCACATGGACAAAAACAAACACATACACCAAAGATACACAGACCCAGAACATATTTGAGCACTCACTTGCAAGAAGCAGCAGGATTTTAAATGAACCACCTAATAGGATAAAAACACAGCTTTATTAGTTGGCTTTTCACATTTAATTCACCCTAATATCCTGCTAGAGAAGAACTGCTATAAATTCACAGAAGGTATTTCACAAATTATATAAAAAATTTAGAGAAGGATGAAGCATCTGATGAAAGAGTTTTTGTTGATTTGAAATATGCAAATGTTTCTGCATAGCTCTTCATAAAGTCTAAAGTTGAAATAAAAAATAACTTCAGAAAGATAACAGGCCTACACAGTAACTCTCTCACACATTCAATATTCCATCAGGTGCTTTACATTTATATATTTACATACATGGGTGACATTTCTATAAGTTGTATTACATCTTATACCAACATACACATTTAAGTTCCATACAGTTGCCATCTGTGTTCAGGAGTTTTGTGCTCTGAATCATTAATAACTTCACAGATAAAATATCTGAAGGAGAGTTTCTTGTAACTAATGAAACAAATGGGCTCAGTAACCAGGTCACAATTTTTGTACAACAATTGTGGGTTTTCTCCCTTTTTCTTTTCCCAGGTGCGTAAGGGACCCAGCCTGTGGGAACTACTATTCACCAGGCAATAGGATCATCCAGTTCAACTACAGAGCACACACATACCCAAGAGTTTGCCTACGGTGCAGAGTATTACAGTGCGACAGATACAATCATTCTTTCCAGTACCACCACGGCTATATGAGAGGCAAAAGAAGCGCAAGTAAAGATGTCATTATTATTATCCGCTCCAAATAATAACAGCCCCAATAATGTTTCTTCTGACCAAAAAAAATCATGTGGATTGTTTATATGTGACCAGTGTGTTGCACATCTGCTACTAATTTCTCAAAATACATTATACTAAGGGATGTAAATCTAAAGGTTTCTTAATCTTAACTGTACTTGTGTTCCTTAATTTCAGATCTTTTGGATCTATATTCCAGATTTGTAAAAGCCATAAACTTCAATAAAATACTCTCAGTGACAAAGATTAATTGGATGGCTGTTTTTTCTCGTCAGGACTTTGCTTCCCTCTCACAGTTCTTCCAGGTCTCATCATTGTACTGAATAACTCAAACATAACCCTATGCAGTGCTACAGGCTTGGGGACGAGTGGCTGGAGCTGCCAGGCAGAACAGGACCTGGGGGTGTTGGTGGACAGCAAGTATGACCATGACCCAGCAATGTGCCCTTGTGGCCAAGAAGGCCAATGGCATCCTGGGGCGTATCAGAAGTGGTGGTTGTAGGTCAAGAGAGGTTCTCCTTCCCCTCTACTCTGCCCTGGTGAGACCACATCTGCAATATTGTGTTCAGTTCTGGGCCCTCAGTTCAAGAAGGACAGGAACTGCTTGAAAGAGTTCAGCAGAGCCACAAAGATGATGGAGGGAGTGGAGCATCTCCTGCTGAGGAGCGGCTGAGGGAGCTGGGGCTCCTGAGCTTGGAGCAGAGGAGACTGAGGGGTGCCCTCCTTCATGGGGATCGATTTGTAAAGGGCGAGTGTCAGGAGGAAGGAGCCAGGCTCTGCTCTGGGATGTCCAATGCCAGGACAAGGGGCAATGGTCCCAAGCTGGAGCATAGGAGGTTCAACCTGAACATGAGGAAAAACTTCTTTACTGTGAGGGTGCCAAAGCATGGCCCAGGCTGCCCAGAGAGGTTGTGGAGTCTCCTTGTGTGGAGACACCCAAAACCGTGTTCCTGTGTGACTGCTCCGGTGATCCTGCTCTGGCAGGGGTTGCACTGAGGGAGCTTTTGAGGTCTCTTCCAACTCCTTATATTCTGAGCATTTAAGGAAGATTAATCTGCTCTACAACTGCACATGTCACAGAGCTGCTGTCTGAGCTCACACAGAGACACAAATCAAAGGATAAGCATCCCTTGTAACCAATAATGTCTGAGCAATTATCTTAAACATGAGCTGAGAAATATTTGGAAAAAATACTGTACATGTACTGAGATATAGTCTCTGTAAACTATCATGATCTTTCCATGTCAGTTTATATTACTGGAGAGTAGACCTGTAACAAAATCTACCTCTAAGTTTACTTCATTATAAACCTTTGCTTCAACCTTTTTCTTCCAATATCTGTTCAAATGATATCACTTTGAGCCCAGAGTTTCTGCAACTTAATGTTAAATTGTCCTACTTGGAATGACTTGGTGAAAGAAAGGAAAATAATAATTTTCAATTCGTAATAAAGAAAAATATGTTGGCAGTCGATTGCAGAATTGCACAGTAGTCTCGCAGTCACATCAGGACTAAATTTTGATAGTCTGGTGAACTTGGCCTGAGTGTGAAAAGTATCTTTAAGGCCAACACTCAGTTTCCACACAGTGAGTATGCACAGATTACTCAAACTCATCATGAGAGGCTCTGTACTGAATACAGATGGCCAGCATGTAGGGGCTGTACCACACAAGACAGAAAAATCAACTTTCAGCAACTTTTCCTTTCATGCTTCATACCTTCAAAAAAGGCATTAGAGTCATTCTGAAACTCGGCTTCTCTGAATAACTTTGCCAGCTTTCAAATGCCAAAATCATGCAGATCTCCCATGATGGCTGCAGATCACAGCTCTTACCTGGTGGTTAAGCCTTGGCATCACTGAGCAGGCTCACAGCCAAAGCCCTCATCCTGCAGGACCACAATGCCCGTCCTGAGCCAGATTATTTCCTAATCACACTTACTTCATACACAACTCCATCACTTTCATAACCCCGCCGCTCTGCCTCTCACAAATAATGACTTAAAGTGCTTGAAATCACATTTTCCCTGCTGCTGCACTTCCAGCTGCAGGCAGTGAGAGAAAGTGCCTGTAAATAAGTGTCACAACAGCTGAATCCTTGTTCCTTTGTACCAAAATGCACCTTAATTTGTTCTGAGGATCTGCTATTGTAAAACACCTTCTGTACCCATCTTAAAGGACTGTCATGAAGACTTGCTGGTCATCTTCTTTTGAGGTAGGAGAGGAAATTCAAAGCAGGCCATTAATATTTCAGCGTCACCTGATATCAAACACATCACACTATCAGAACACAGGCTTAGCACAAGGTTTGTAAACAGTTTGGTTGCTCAGCTTTGTAGCCTGAGCACATGGAGCAGCAGCAGCAGCACCACAGACTCGGATCAGTGGAGCTGCCAGCCAGACTCAAGTGTGAGCAGAGGCTCAGCTCTTCAGAAACACTGGGCCACTCCTTAGGGCAGACCCTTAATACCAAATCCAGTGTAAGAAAGTGTCCTAATCATTCATATACAAATAATTCCAAACAGTTTGACTACAACTACCAGAGTAAATTAGCAGGCTGTCATAGTCATAGATACTTTTTACTTTGTTCTGACTGAGTAAAAAGGCTCCACACACCAGTTCACACAATAAAATGGGTTCAAAGTAGATGTTAGAATTCAAACTTTCCTTGCAAGTATGTGTGTAGGCTGAAGAAATGAAAGGCTATGCAGAGTAAATGCAAATTTAGCATTTCCAGAAGCTAAAGGGAATTTAAATGCTATGCAACATCTTTATACTTGTATTCAATGCCTCCACGTTTAAAGGCAGTATAAGTACATTGACATGATGAAGAGAGAGTTGCATTCAAGATCCTTGGAGTAAAAAATCAGAGAGAATTGTTTAAAGAAGACATAGGTCTGAGATTAGAAATGCAAAATCATTACAGATGCATATTTCAGTTTGTTTTATAAAAAGAAAAAACCCCTTTTTTTGCACAAAAGAATGGTTTTATGAAAGAAAGGTACCTGGATGTGTTTCATCTGTGTTGCCATTGGACTTTTCTAGAAAATTGGAACGTATGCCTGTTTGCACAGCTGTGGGATACCTGCTCTCCGTGTTGGAAAGGATCTCAACACTGGACTCCCATGTGAGTGCTGGCTGTTCACGCACCAGGCAGGCACTGCACTGCCCCCCTCAAGGTCAGGGTAACCGCACATCTGTGGCACTGGCACCAGCATGGCCTCCAGAAGCTTGAAACTTTGAGTATCTGTTGCTGCAGCAAGAAATACTCTGAATTTGAAGAGCTTTGGTCATGATGGAAAGACAAAGTAGCAAAGTTTGATGCCTTTTTTTCGTAGCTGCTATTGTGAGACTAAGGAAGTTTTATCTGCAAAGTGGTTGCAGTGCAATCATCTTTTAAATCTGTGACTAACATGAACCTGGCCTTGTTTATGGATGCTTCAGCAACAGGAAATTATTATTCCTGATGACTCTATTACAATAACCCCACATTACAACCTGAGGAAGCCTCAGCAAGGATGGGGAATGATTTGCCCAGTGTAACCTTAAGGGATAGGTGTCAAAATGCAGGTGGGAAAACCCAAGCTCCTGCTGTGCCAAGTGATGAATGCATCTGCCAAGGGCATCTTGCAATCCCTTCCAGAACATTCCCATTGATCTCAACACACTTGAACCGACACTGAATGAAATCAGCAGAAAAACGTGCTTTGAGCTCACAGAGCTGATGAAAGCACCATTAAACTTACTCTACATGGTACATACCAAAAAAAATTGGTCACACCTGTTACTTTCTCATTCATATTTGCTAAAAAGAAACAGAAACTGAGAGATTAAGTCCTCCCTCCGGGACAACGTGTAACAAAAGATGATTAGGAAACAGCAGGGGGTATAAAAGTTAGAAAAGCCTCACCTCCCCAGCTGCCACCAAAATGCAGGCGCCCAGGCAGTTCCTCCTCCTGTCCCTCTTGGCTGCTGTAGCTCTCGCTGGAGACAACTCAATAGTCCTCACTGGTATGGAAATCCAGTCTTTTCTTCACCTGTGAAATTTTGTTAGTTTTTGCACAACAGGTATTTTATAGGCAGCTGAAGGGAAGATTATTAAACACGTCTCTAGAAGTGCATCTTATTTATGTACTGCTGCACAACAGTAACACCTTAATGTGCCAGCAAGTGTTAAAAACGCTTAATAAAACAAAAAAACAATTGGCAATAAATGACTTTCTATGGAAAATTTTTAATTTAAGAACTTGAATTGAAGAGATTTTAGTCTGGAATTGAAATTTGCAGTTATAAATTAATACCATATTTGAGTAACAGGAATGAAGTGATTTAAGTGGGAAACGGTTGCTTTTATTTGCTCATTTTTCCTTTGTTCAATCAGAAGCAATCAGCGATCATTTGTTGCTCAGTTTGGGATAAATTCTGTGCTCAAGTCAGCTAATTTACCAAATTAACTGTGGGTAGCTACTGTAGGATAATTATGTGTTGCTGCAGGGCTGTTCTAGTGGTGCCTGGCTACAAAAGAGCCCAGAGGGACGCAGAGAGAGCATAGGGCAAAGCTGGCCTTGGGATGCTCTTAGAATTGAGAGGTTTCAGATGTGACAAGAAAGGTCTCTCCTAACCCTTTCTTTTGCCTTTGGAGCTCATCAGAAAGTCTGTTTGTTTGGGTTTGTTTTCCTCTGGGACTGCATACACTGCATAGGAAATTCTTCCCGCTGTTTTAGACAATTTATTTTAGATTAATGTTAAAGTAGAAAGCAGATCTTATCCTCATACTGGATTACAAACTTTAGAAAAAATTTCCTGTATAATGGTAATTTCTGCAACTGGTTCATGACTTATTAACATGCATTAAGTGATGTCAGTGATGACACCCACAGATTATTTGGGTTTTTTCATAAAAGGATTGGGTCAAAGTCCATCTAGCCTCGCATCCTGACCCCAGTAACAGTCAAAAGAGGACGCTAAGGTGAGAATATAACTACAAATCTGCATAAAACTTTCGCAGAATACACTCCCAGCCACCAACAGAAATGGTTCAGGACTTCAGGAACAGAGAGGAAGTGTTACCTTTGTGTTTAATAGTTACCAAAGGCTTTTTCTTTCGTGGATTTGACCTGTTTGGTGTTTAACTCTTATCACCCACACCACCTTGCAGCAAAGATCCACCTGCAAAGATGCAGTTCCTGTAGTTTGTTTCAAAACCAGAGCTCACTGGTTTCGTTCCAGACCAGTGAGTTACTGTATTAGAAGATAATATCTCATATTAAGGCTTTTCACGAATTTACAAACCTCCAACACCTCCTTTCTCCCCTAGGTATCTCTCTTCTGCCCCAAAATGCTTCAGTCCTTGTCTGGAAGCTAAATTAAACCTTTGATCATCTTTGTTGCTGTTTTCTGAAGCTTTCCCTGTTTAGCAGTAACCTTTCAGGGATGGAGAGTCAGAACTGTACACAGCAGCAAATATACAGCAAGTCCACACATTGTCCTTCAGAAGCTCAAATCTGAAAAGCTTTTTTGATTCCCTGAGCGTAGGCTCCCAAATGCTTTTAAACTGAGGGCTGAACCTCAGATTCAATGGATTCAATGATCTTCAGGAATTCAGTGTGGGGGGAAGACAGGAGGTTTAAGGAGTTTTGGCCACCAACCTTGCAGAAGCGTTGCTGAGGTGTCCTTTATCACTTGGCATTTCCAGTTTCGCCATTGGCTTCATGTGTGCTTTGTGAGGCCCTAAGTCCCCTTTTTCTCTGCTACTAGGAAAACGAGGATAAAAAGTATTTTCTAAACTTCTAAACACCCTTGCAAGCTGTTTTTGTTGCTGTTCAATAGGCTCACCTCGCTGTGGTGCTTCGCTTCAAGACTCTAAACTTACTTCACTATTTCATTCTCTCAAACTGCAGTAATACAAATTTAAAAAAAAAAAAATTAGCACAACGTTTTGCAGGTCTGTTCCATGATGCAAAAATTCTGGATGGATTGAAACAGGATTAAACACTATTGCATGAGAAAACCTGAGAAACACCCTTGCAAGCTGTTTTTGTTGCTGTTCAATAGGCTCACCTCGCTGTGGTGCTTCGCTTCAAGACCTCAACAAAGCGTTCACGATTGAACTAGATGCAAATGCGGACTGCGTCTGGCAAATTCAGAGGAATACAAATCAAACAATTAGGCTCATTTTCTCCAATTTTAAGTAAGTATTTCCTCTAGATGCTTTTGTACACTTCCATTCCATCAGAATACAGCACAGAAAAATACTGCCTCCAAATATTTCTCCGTATTTCATTTAGTAAAATGCTTATTGATTCTGTGTCATGGCCTCCAAAGAGCCAGTATATCTATCAGTGAGCATAGGTAGTTCTTCATGTTGTTTTGTTTTGTATTTTTTATATAGATTTGCCCCTCCTTCAAGCTGTGAAACAGAAAGTATTAAAGTGTATGATGGTCCCTCAACTAATTCATCTCTCCTTGGACAAATATGTAATGACACCGATGCAGTCCCAGTACTCGAATCATCTTCAGCCAGTTTAACTTTTCGCATAACAACAAACTCCGAGGCTTTCAAACGAAATTTCTTTGTCTTCTATTATTTCTTTTCACCAGATACAAGTAAGTTGGGAGCTAATGCAGTCATTAAACACCATTTGACTTGCAGCATTAAAAGAAAGATTCTCATTAAGGGCAAGTTTGAGACAGCAATTAGAGACTATTAACAGAATCTTGAATGGTGTGGGGAGAAATCAGTGAAATGAAAGAGGCAGCAAAACAACAGCGCACTTGCACGGAGCCTAAAAAGTTAAGTTTTACTCAGAAAAAAGATTGCAAAGAAGACATTATGGGACTCTCCTTTTACTTACAGGCTTCTATTAAATTTACTCAGTTTGCTAATACTGTAGCATTTGCCCAGAAAGAGAATATGCCCACCTGGTCAGAACTCCTGCCGACTACAGGTCACAAGTCAGTAAGGGTTCTCATTCAAAAAGGTCCTTACCGTTTATCCTTAAACCAAGAACAGCTTGGACAAAATCAGTCTTAGCATATGACCAGTTCCTGTGCTTCTGCTGGTCTGAAGGGCATGGTATTAAGCTCTTAAAAGTTTCAATTGTGTAGTTACCACATCCTAGGTTATGCTGCTCCAGTGTTTAACTTTGTTGCTGACAAACTGTGACTTATTCCTGCTCTACATTTATCTTTCTGAGGTTTCCACTGACCTGATTTTATTTTGCCTTTGTCTATTGAGTAAAACGTCTCTCAAAGGTGAAGATTTTGCATTTCCACATAGACCATGACCAAGGCCTTATAGATTTCTCTACTGTAGTCTCTCAGGGTTTCTTTTGGCTGGTGTAGCATCTTCATTACCAGTTTTTCAAGATGGTACCTGATTTAGCCAAAATGCAAATCACAGAATCACAGAATCTCAGAAGTTGGAAGGGACCTCGAAAGCTCATCCAGTCCAACCCCTGCCAGAGCAGGATCACCAGAGCAGCCACACAGGAACACATGCAGGCGGTTTCTGAATGTCTGCAGAGAAGGAGACTCCACAACCTCTCTGGGCAGCCTGGGCCATGCTCCATAACCCTCACACTAACAAAGTTTGTCCTCATGTTCAGCTTGAACCTCCTGCGCCCCCGCTTGGGACCATTGCCCCTTGTCCTGGCATTGGACATCCCAGAGCAGAGCCTGGCTCCTTCCTCCTGACACTGCCCTTTCCAAATGGATCCCCATGAATGAGGGCACCCCTCAGTCTCCTCTGCTCCAAGCTCAAGAGCCCCAGCTCCCTCAGCCGCTCCTCAGCAGGAGATACTCCACTCCCCTCATCATCTTTGCGGCCCTGCTGGACTCTTTCAAGCAATTCCCTGTCCCTCTCGAACTGAGGGCCCAGAACTGAACACAGTATTTCAAAGGCGGTCTCACCAGGGCAGAGTAGAGGGGAAGGAGAACCTCTCTTGACCTACAACCACCACTTCTGATACACCCCAGGATGCCATTGTGCCATATAACCACATTGCTCACAGTTTCAAAGCTAACTCACCTACAGCCATCTCACGTCGACGCTGGACTAAAAGATCCTTGTGGTCCCTTCCAACCTGGTATTCTATGATTCCGTGATTACAATGTGCCTCACAGATAAAGTCTGTTGTCACTGTGGTGTATTTTGGAACATCCATCCCATCTGAAACTCTTGATATCTTTAGTACCTCTAATAATTTCTAGAGGAATGGAATCCTAAAGAAACAACCCAGCTAGGTATATAACTTTAGGTCTTTATTTTTTAATGGTTCACTATATATACCATTATGTTAATAACAATGTATCTACTCTTTTCAGAAGTTGAAAATTGTGGGGGACAATTAACTGGTCCCAGTGGGACACTTACCAGCCCCAACTACCCATCATCTTACCCTGGATTTACATACTGCGTCTGGCACATACAAACAGAAAAAAACTCCAAGATAAACTTAGAGTTCCAGGATTTCTTGTGAGTAAATGCTCTAATGTTCTATTACTCTTCTTTTCATTCTCTATAAAGCCATTACTTTAAATACAGGAAGCAGAAGTGCTTTCAGACTTCTAGGACACTTGGAAAACAAATGTGTTTTGCCAACTCTTACGATAAAGTAATTACAATGTGTTCCACATCACTATCTATTACCCTATAGGTACTGCAGTGCCAACCGTACTGCAGAAAGCATTTCAGGTGACTAGCCATGAGGTGCTGGTCTATTTTAAGCTAGCCTGAATGATCTGAACTTAAATTCATCAGTACAACTAAAGCTTTTGCTAAATAAGGAACCAGTTTAAAACCATCACGTGCACTGTAATTGCAATTTAGAACAGAAATTCAAAAGAATAAAGAAAATATTGCCCTAAGTACATCTTTCTTTGCCCAATGGCCAGCAATGCTGAGAAGATAGCATAGCACTGGCTTATGTATTTCCAAGTATAAGTGCTAATGGATGCATTGGCACAAGGAAACCACACTAGCATGGACTTTCCTGACCCACATGGTTCTTTATGAGGGTCGGTCTCCCACATGTAGTGGGATGATAGCCCCTTTTTTGGCTTTCCCTGCATGAGTTGACACTGTGCGTGGAGGAAAGCCTCAAGACCAAGTGGATTCAAATGGCAGAATCTTCAAGAACATTGTTTGAGATATTCAGGCTGCAGAATGCAGTGTAAGAAGTCAGCATGAAAGGTATAGGATTCTATAGGAAATGGTTACCTTGACCACTGCCCTCCAAGATGTTGCTTTGGCATTATCCACCCACCACAGTACAGATGGTGCTTTTCATGAGGATATTTCCTTTTATTCTCCATTCTTTTATTTCAGTTGTCTGGAATTCATCCAACGCTCACCTGCACTGGATCTCCTATCCAGTATAAGCAATATTCTCTATACTTGGACTTCCCTGTAATTATTTCTTTTCTCCATCTACAGCCTGGAACTAAACAAAAACTGCCAGTTTGACTTTACAGCAGTCTATGATGGCCCCACCACTAACACTGGCTTACTAGGAAAAGTATGTGGCCGTGATCGGCCCACATTTGAATCTTCCTCAAATGTTATGACAGTCGTGCTTTCTACAGACTATGCCAACTCCTACAGAGGGTTTTCTGCTCAGTACACCACTATTCCTCTGGCAGGTCCTGTGGAGCCTGACAGTAAGTACACTTGCTACATCAATAGGATGCTCTTTCTTATTCTCACATACGATTCTTCCTTTCCTTACAAGTATCAAAAAGAACTGATGGCTGATATTGAGGATTTAAGTCTTTTTATTGCTAGTTATTAACCTTCTTTAAATACAAAAAATCTCATTAGTCTCACCTACTGGGCATAAATTATTACCTCAGCCATCTGCAAAAGGAATCCTGTTCTTTCACTTTTTGGTCCTTTTTCTGGCTAGCACCACTGAAAATTTGAGTTTTCCCTTCTTTTAGGCAAAGCAGGCATTGTTACCATCCAAGAGATGCAAAGATAAACTTTTTTTGACTGGTTAGTTCAAATGTTTTTGTTCCCTGAGATACAGAGGAAAATGGTCTACACTGGTTAGTCAGACAGGGTTCACGTATGTTGTAATTTCCTTTCTCCTAAAGCTGGACCATTTTCCTTATTGGTTCCATTTGTTTGCATGCCTATCTTCTCATTAACTGAGGTGCAAAAGGAGCCTCTAAAACTTCATGTCTGCCATAAATCAATTCCTCCTCCACCATTCTGCACCAGCACTTTGACGCTGTTTCCCTTTTATAAAGGCTGTAAATTCATTCTGTTACTTGATTTAAAATTAAACTTTCAGAGTGAATTTTACATGGTTTTACTTATCTTAACATTTTTTAAGCCAAGCATGAGATTTTCTTCCAATTTCTGCATGACCTCAAATGTACACAAGCTATTTCAGACTGACACATCAAGAACCATACAACAGATTCAAGGCTTAGGCCAAGTGAGAGATGATCGTAGCATGGTTTGTAACTCTTCTTTTGTTCTGTCTCTTATTTCTCTATCAATAGCACCAACCCTTACATGCTCTTCTGATAGCATGAAAATTGTTCTGAGCAAGTCTTACCTGGCCTCCCTTGGTTATAACGAAACTCACCTACAGCTGAATGATCCATCTTGCAGCCCAGTTGTAGAAGATTCGGTGATCTTTTCCTTCCCATTAGCCAGCTGTGGAACAACTAAAAAGGTAAAGGGGGAAGAAAGTTCTGAAGCAAACAACAGCTTAAGAATAACAAGAGCTCATAAAAGGAGTTTATGAACAGCACATGAATAAGCTAACAGCAGATTTACTTTCACTTAGCTCATCTGACTGCATGTTTCCAGTCTTGAAGGAGAAAGAACATTTTTCCTCTTTAAGAGCCTGATCAGGGAGCCTTTCAAAGGAAGTCCAAGAGAATCCACAAGTTATTCCCAAATGTTTCATTTCCTCCTCAAGCCATGCTATCAGAAGTAGCGCAATGTTAGAAAGGTATCTTGAGCCTCTGATAAGCATAGCTGGGCAGTTTTGTAGCTTTAGCCAAATTGCTGTCAACTGCGCTGCTCGCATCATCACAACTGAGCACTTCCCCTGATTCCTTTTGCAGGATGAAGGTCAGAGCATCACTTACACCAACATCGTCTCTCTCTTTGCAACCGGCAATGTTGTCACCCGGCAAAAGACCATACAGATCATTGTGAAATGCAAAATGGAAAACAATTCAACCTTAGAAGTCATTTACACAACGAAAAATAATGTAATTCAAAACATAACCACTGTGGGAAGATACAGTGTTAGCATGTCATTCTATGAATCAGATTTCTTCTCCAAGGCTGTACTTCATTCCCCATATTACGTGGACTTGAACCAAACTCTTTTTGCTCAAGTCAGTCTTCATTCCACCGACCCAAATCTTTTGGTGTTTGTTGATACCTGTGTGGCATCCCCAGAGGCTGATTTTGGATCGCTAACGTATGACTTAATTAGAAGTGGGTAAGACCCTACATTGTTTTATGACTGTCTCCTAATATGTGAGGTAGCAATCTAAATGTCAACCATAGCTTCTTTTGTCTCTCTTCCACTTTTCTTTAGTAGACTGCAGTTGGATGCTAAAATTCATAGAAATTTAAAGGCATTACACAAACAGAGCTAGGAAAACAAGCGAGGAAAAAAGCACATCATTGTATGTCCACATGTAAAAATAACAGCCTAGTTAAATGCTCTTATTAGTTAATAGTAATTAGCAAGAATTATTGGGGGATTGGACTAGATGATCTTTTGAGGTCCCTTCCAATCCCTAACGTTCTGTGATTCTGTGATTGTACGTAGACTCCTTTAACAGACCTGTAAATTGTGTTGCAGCTGCAATAAAGATGACACTGTTGTAACCTACCCACCACTTGAACACTATGGAAGATTCAAATTCAACACCTTCAGGTTCCTGCAGAGCCATCCATCAGTTTACCTCCAGTGTGACGTTTTAATTTGTGACAGCAGCGACACAAACTCCCGCTGTACCGAAGGCTGCGTCTCCAGGCGAAAAAGAGCTGTGTCTTCATACACGTGGAAAACTAACACCGTAATAGGTCCCATCCGCCTGAAAAGAGATCTCAGGTCTGCTGATCGCTCAGGTGAGAGGATACATACATTGAAAACCTGGTTAAGCTATTCCTTGTGTAAATCTACTACTTCTGTTTCAGTAATGAATTACATTAGTTCAAAACTAATGTGACATCAGAGCGACAGGTTCGATGAAGTTTGTTTTGTGAAGTGACAGAGGCACTTTTCACACTGACAGACTGATGGCTTTCTGGATTAAGGTGTGCTCTTTGAAGTAGAAAAAGCAGTACTTGCTCCTAGCTACAGGAGCAGTTTATCCAGGACCTGACTGTGTACTCAGAAAGAGTTACGAATGGTGAGATTTCAGACTTTCAAGTGTGGCATTTTTGGAAGAAGCATATTTCTTGAAGCCACAGACTACTTAAAAAGCACATTCCCAGTCATAATGAAGCTTTGTTATACCCTGTGCATCTTCTAACAAGACCACTCAATTCCACTCAGTTTTATATGCTGGTACCACAGAAAAGCTATGTCAGATGATAAACACAGATGACTTATTCCAGGCTAGGTTAAATCCTCGCACTGTATTGCCTATTAGAACAAAAGCACGAAGAGGGCAACCACTGGAGCAGAAATCAGAAGCAAAACGCTTTTAAATCAGAGCTGCAAAGCTGTTTATAAGACAACTAAGCTTTCAGCACCCCAATCAGGCATACTGTATCGAGCCTAAAGCTTCACCTGAGAAAAGCACATTGTGCCACACGCTTTTAGGTGTCAGATCTAAGAAATACTTGGCATAAATCATGTTCTTATAGTAAATAAGCATATTTTCTTTTTTTTTTAATAATTATTATCCTCTCTGATCACTAGCAGCATTTTAAACATGCTCCCATTTATTTCAGTAATGAAAGACTTCGCATCCACATGCTAGAAGCCAGACACATTTATAATGAGAAAAGGATTAAAATGCAAACGGATCACACTCAAAGTATTACAAAGCACAATACTCATAGCATCTTCCACGATGTGCAGAAAAATAATGAGTTTTAACAAGGACCAGCCAGTAAACCATTAGAAGGCAAAGGGTTAGAACCAAAAGTGTCTTTTTTTGCCCCCCTCTGCTTCAGTAACATCTCCCATCTATCTGGTTCTAAAAGATAACAATAATCATTGGTTGGCAGAAATTTGGCTGCAGAGATATCAAAGAATTTGTTGACATTGTGATGCTCTTTTGCACAATTGCTTTATTACAAATTTGTACAACTCTTCAGTACTACAGATTCAGAATCTGCAATTGGTGTGGGTCAGCTCCTCAGAAGCAAAATATGTGAAAAAACTGCTTACTTACTTGTCATTGAAATGACATGGTATTCCAAACTTTAAACACCCTGCTTTGTTTTTTCTCTTCACAGAATCCCTCATTAAAGCAGATGCCGAAGAATCCCCGAACCTGCAACAATACAGTTTCTACACTCTTAAATTTAATTTCAAATATTATCATTGTGGCAGCTGTGATACTAAAATATCGCAATCACCAAGCGGGATATAGCTACCAAAAACTCCAGAGCTCATATTAACTGCTTCAGGATATTTTGAACTTGGGCCAATTTCTATTCAGATTTGTCACCCAAAGAAGGGAGAGGGTGGAAAAAAACCTAAACCAACTGAAAAATCAATAAACTATGAGCCTTAGAATAAAACAATGATTGGAAACGTATTTCAACTTCTTTTGTAATTAAAAAAAACCCAACCCAAACCTCTCAACCTAGTGCTCTATTTTAAACCACTGAGTTGAAAAAAAATATAAGCATCCACCTCAAGCATCTAAACCCAAACTTTACAGGTATAAAGTGACTTCTGAATTACAAGATAACTTAGGTCATTTTTTCTTAAAAAAAAATAACAAAAACAAAAACAAAAATCTCTTTTCAAATCCCTTTGAAACAGCACCTGGCATGAGTTAAGCTGAGGAACAACTGCGAGATGTCTGTTCAAAGCAAATTATCCTCTCTTCAAAATCTACTCCTGTGGGTTGCTACCATCAAGATCTGACAGTCTGCAAAAGACATCAGTTTTTCTGAAGAAAAAGAAAATATGAGGTAGACTAGACAAAGACACTGGATTCTATGTGCCTATGCTGCTTGTCGAGTCAGCGCTTGCTTCCCCTTGAAGAGCTTTTGCTCAGTGCATTAAGACACCAAATACAACCAACACCTGTGCACCCAACTTAGGAGTTTACCATTAAGTTCAAGTGAAATGGGATAGCCCAGAATTCAAGTGGCAATAAACAGAACGAAGTACGAAGCCTGACCTTCCACAAAAGATTGACTTCAAGTCACATTTCTGCCTCCCCAAATGAGAGCAGAACTGATCCAAACAGGTTAAATTAAATATGATGCAGTCAGGTTACTTCTCTGGCCTGAGGTTGGTGAAATGTGGCAGATCCTACCCCAGTACCTTCCAGCTGGCAACAATGTCCCCTTGAGAGGAACCACAAATGAAGTATTTGCATTTCTTAGGATAATGAAACACGGATAAATACAAGTCTGCTAAATGTACATTCATTTCAGTTGTTCAATTAATTTAGAAGGAAATAGTGATAATCTTGGTTTAGATATCCCTTAACGAGCATAGGTTCCTAACCCAGGTGCCTGTACAGCCAGTAAGGCTTTCAGAGAATCCAGGCTGGGGTTTGAGTTCGGATGTCTCCCTAAACCTGACTCTTTCAACAGCCTAAGTCAGGCAATGCCAGTACTACCCTTCCTCTTATAGATGGAGTAATAAACATCTTCAACAGGAGTGCCATTACGATAAACCAAAGGCACAAAGAAACCACATTCTGTTCTACCGGTAGCATGTTACACATCAAATACCAAGACAAAAAAAAGAGTGAACCGATTACGTGTAGGTAAAAAGATAACTGTAACTTGGTTTATTTAGAGTACTTCTCCACTGTTCAAACCGAAACTGGGAAACTGTTTCATATGGCTTTAAGCAATGCTCTTTAAATAAATAAGCCACAAAGGGCATAAAAAATTCTTACAGTTAGGAAAAAACACACATTAAGATCTTTCATAAAACTAGCAACTGTGTACAATAGTGGATAAAATTACAGTAACAAAACGCAAGTCAGCAACACCGAGGTTCTTTACAGTTGTATCTCCATAAATACTAAGCTTTGTAAAGTATAATTGCCCTCAAATCACTTACGTTGAAGTCCTGTATCTACATGCATCTATCTCTCTCCATTAGAGAACCCCTCGCTAGAATCATAGTGCGCTTGTGAAATTTTGTTTGGCTTTGAGTTCTGAACCAAGTCCATCAAGAGAACCATTTTATTATCTATGTGTGTCTGAAGAGCCTGGATTTGGCGATCGATATAGTCCATTAGTTTTTTCTCCATCAAATCCATATTTTTTGATATTATCTTTTCCAAATAGGAGCAAATGGGCTGTTGTTCGACTCTGTGAAAAGAAGAAATACAAAAATAAACATAACCTATTTCTTAATGACAGGTAGCATGAAGGAGATCTGGGCACTTGAACTTCTTTTAAATGTAAAATCTCATTTATTAGACAAAAAACTTTGGATTATAGTAGGTTTTTAGCACAAGTAAAATACCTTGCCCTATTAAATCTCAGATTTTTTTGTAAGCATGCTAGGGTACACAGCTGTCTTCTTTCAACCTTACTTTCTCAAAGGCTTAATTACTCATTATACAGCTTAGTTGTGTGGATTTTCACAGAATCCCAGAACGTTAGGGATTGGAAGGGACCTCAAAAGATCATCCAGTCCAATCCCCCTGCCAGAGCAGGAACACCCAGATGAGGTTACACAGGAAGGCGTCCAGGCGGGTTTTGAATGTCTCCAGAGAAGGAGACTCCACAACCTCTCTGGGCAGCCTGGTCCAGTGCTCTGTTACCCTCACTGAGAAGAAGTTTCTTCTCAAATTTAAGTGGAACCTCCTGTGTTCCAGTTTGTGCCCATTACCCCTTGTCTTATCATTGTTTGTCACTGAGAAGAGCCTGGCTCCATCCTCATGACACTCACCCTTTAAATATTTATAAACATGAATGAGGTCTCCCCTCATTCTCCTCTTCTGCAAACTGAAGAGACCCAGCTCCCTCAGCTGCTCCTCATAAGGGAGATGCTTGAGTTATTATACATAACTCAACAGTATACACACAGTTCTAATTTTGTGGCAGGCTTTCTTCTTCTCAGCTAAAGCATTTCAAAAGTTACACAAACTAGGAATATTAAAACCCCCATTCCTACATCTCACCATTTCCAGTACTGTTCCTTAGGTATAAAACTGGGTGCACTACTACTACTACTACAGAGTTTGCACTGTTCATGCCAACAAATGGGGGGGACAGGAAAGATCAGTAGGATGAGATACACTAAGTACAACAGAAAGGTTGTGGCACAGTGTGAAAAAAGGAAGAGAAAATAATTTAGGAGGTAAAAGCAGTCAAAATGAAAATGTAGTAAGGAACAAGAAAGACAAACTACTTGTATATGGAATTGCAGAAACATCATACTTTTTTTGAAACCATAAAAGGTGAAGTGGAGGCAAAAGACACAAACAGTTCAATAGCAACACTGATGTTATTTTTTCTGAAAAAACTCCTATAATCAAGCAGCTCATCTGAAAAATTCACTGTAATCATGTTCATCACCACACAGCCTTCAGAACTACACATTTTAAGACACATTATGGCTGTTAACAAGAATAAAATGCTTACATTAGGTATTTTATTTTTTAAACTTTTCAATAAATACAGTCAAACTATTAGTTTAATAAGTGTGCAAGACTTAACTTACCCATCACACTGAATGCCTTCCTCTTTAGTCAGTGCACTTTTCCCAAAACGCCTATCCCCATCTTTTAGCCGAAGATGATTAACCTGACTACATATGTTTTGAAGAAAAGGAAGAAGCACCTGTGGGTTAGCTACATTTGGGGTTTCGCTTGCTTCTTGCTGCGTATGCAAAGATCCCATGACTTTAAAACAATTTCTGAGGTCAAACGTATTTTGCTGGGTAGTAAGTCTTTCAGAATCAGAAGAATCCCCTCTTTCAGGTAGCTGCGTGTTCGGATCGCAACTTATTTTTAAGTCTTCATGTTCTGTTTCACTTGTTACATGGTTTTTGACAGGCAAAGGTTCGCTGGCTGATTGATCTCGTGATGTCTGAACAGCTGCACTGAGCAATCCATCTATTGCATGGTCACTTCCAAAGTCTGAATGCTTCCCAAAGATCCAGTTAAGTTTGTCTCCAAGAGGTAAACTGTTCTGATGAAAAGAAAAACAAATTGGTTAATATTTAAATATTAAAATATACTGGAAGTTACACAATAATAATAGATGCTTTATAACTCTTCATAATTAGAGCATTCTCCTAGCATGATGTAAAGATTTTAAAAGTAGTTGTGAATCATATTCTTAGGGAAAAGCAGAGAAAAAGATTTTCCCTGTGCATATTATGTTAATTATCTTGTCAGTCTCTAAGTAACAAACCAGTTTTACCGACTTCATTTTTACCATCCTATGGCTCCAAGATTGAACATTATTAACATCAGATGGATTCAGAATTCTGTTTAAATAGCCTGCTTTGCAGGATTAGGATTGAAATCAAATAAACACTCTGTAAGAGCATGTTCCCATTAGTTGATGGTGACATGCTTTTAGTAACAATAAAAGAGACTAATCACTCTACCTACACCGCAAGAGTGACAAGGAACATGCCCACAGTCTTAACAAGCAGTGACAATGAAAACAAACACGAGGAGAGTAGGGTGGCAGTGAAGTTTAAAATTATAATGATGCAGAGTTCTTAACTCTGGCCTTTGTGTATGCACAGTGATTCCTTGAGTACACAACCTTCATTCATTGCACTCCCTTAAATAAGGGTGCCAATAGCTAAATCAGGATTAAAATGGTAGAAAGCGTGGGTTAAAAATCTTTTTCAGCAAATCAGTTTAGAACATGCTGAACTGTTACAGAAGGTTAAGGTCACTGATCAGTACTATTTATGTCTATGGAAAAGCATAATAATAACTTACTTTCTGCTGATATCGGACCATGTCCATGAGCTGCTGAGCACCTGGAGACAACTTCGATCCCATAGACTCCATTATAGTTTGCACTCTGTCTAGATCTATGCTGGAGCCTAGTGAAGGAAAATCAGTTGCTAGTTTTGCAGACACTGTTTTCACTTCTACAATTATTTTACTGATGAGTACTCTCTGTTTCTCACCAATGGAGAGCAGCTATGCAAGAAGGAAAAAAAATATTTTGGTTAGGAAAAACAAATACTTTCATGTTTTCTTTGTATGTATGGGATAATGCATTATTCTTCGAGGCTTGGCAAAAACAATGCTGAACTTTTTTCCAGGGAAATTAAGCCGATTTCTCCTTGCTATTGCTCTTCAAAAAATTTTGACTGAAACAGAGGTGCCTGCATGACCCAAAGACAAATCAGGCCTTGATCTTCTAAGCATTTAAAAGCAGTGGCCATACAGATCATGATAAAGCTATTTTACTGCATCAGAGTTCTAACTGCATAGTCACTGCTGCAGTTTTTCTGGTTCATGAAATTCTTTTTTCCGCTCAGAGAATATTACAGTTGTCACAGAAATATTAAGTCTTCATAAAAAGAAAACTGTGATACAAATTTAAAAGGAGAGCTCTGCTATCAAGACAAAATGCTGTCTAACAGATTTTTAAGTGACTATATGAAGGGTATAAAACCAGCAATTTGACTAAGAACAAGGCAATTTAGTCAATTAAGTGATTAAAAGGACAAAGAAAAGTAAAACAATTCTGTTCAACTCCCTACCTTAATCCTACAGGAGGCTGCAGGGCATTCGAACTTAAAGTACTTTTTGTATAAAGTAACCTTTTCAGTTTCGCTAGAAAAATAAAATAAATGAGCTGTGACATCACTATATAAAATACTTTTTTCTTTAGTAGAAATACACTATAGTGGTAAATATTTAGAGAAGAAAGAAGACAGGAACATGTTTCTAATGTGCTATAGCAGTTTAATGCTTATATTCACCTTAATTTAATCAGATACATAAGTAAAATAGGATTTGCATGCCTATGTACTTTATCTACTAGAGAAGCTTTTGAGGTTCAGTACGTTATTCACACACCTTCCCTGAGGCTCTGAGTTGGCTGTTTTTATTTAGCTAATTAATAAGCAGATGTGCCGTGTAATGACTTAAAAGCAAAAGAGCAGACATCACTTTAATCCTTCTGGCAAGGCATGGAAGAAAGTATTGAAGGGGAAAACAAATAGTTCTTTTTTATTTTCTCTCTTGTTCTCAAAGTGTGAGGACTACGTATCAGAGACAAGAGAACTTTTGGTAAAGATCAGATAAAAGAGATGAGCAGATTTGTTGCCTAGGAAAATTAAACAGTACAGCGAAGTTGCAACTGCCCTAACTCCTTCTGCAGTCTTACAAAACAGAAGAGTAGTGCTTCAGAGTAGCACTTTATAACTTACTGAATTAAAGGTTTCGCTAGTTACAAAAGAACAAAAATGCAACTAGCACAACTGCAGCCTTACATCTTCATCAGAGGCAGCATCTGATCAGGCCACCAGTGACCCTGCCAGTTGTGTGCAGACCTCCAATACAGACTGAACTGGGTGGTGCAGACACCAGGTCTTTTACCTTACAGATACACAGAGAACGACATTGCCGGTAAGTGAAGGACCAGACTGTGTTAAGCAACCCCCCGACGCCCATCTCCCGCTCCAAGCACCCCTGATGCCCGCGATGGCTGCGGCCAGAGGCCGCCACTTACCCCGGGGGCCGGAGGGCGCCCAGGCTCTCACCGCGGCCGGTCCCGCAGTACTCCTCGCCCGCATACACCTCCATGTTCCGGGCCTCGCTCAGGATACTGACGGAGACCATCTCCCCGGCGCCGGCCGGCCGGCACTCCAGGTGTAACACACACGGTGCTTCGCTGCCGCCGCCCGCCCGTCTCTCCACCACGACGGCCTCGGTGCTGCACGGAGAAAGAGCCACGGCCGCGTTGCCCCGCCAGGCCCGCTCCAGCCCCCGTCGCCCGCTCTCCCGCCCAGGCCCAGCCCGGCATCCCCTCACGCCGCCCACTTGGCCACAGCTGCCTGAGGAAAGGCAATGGGGCGACATGGTC